GTAGCGCAATTCTTTTTTACCAACTTTTACAATTATGCAATTAAAAAAGTTGGTCGAAATTTGGCCACCACGAACGAAGGAAAGGTCATCGTTGAAGAATAATGTGATATTTGGAATCCGCGTAAAACTCTTTCTAGTCCATGTCTCTTTGTTTTCAGAAAAAGTTTTCAAAGGGGAAATATCGGGGCTTCGGAAAAGCAGCTAGGAAAAATCGAAGTTTAATGTTAACAATCCGCGGTTTGCGGCGATCGATAGAAAATTGACTTCTGCATCGAGGTATTGAATCAGAAAGTCTTTAATTGACGAAAGTGGCTGAATTTCAAGATAGCTTTGGGAAAAGGTTTTTGGCATTTTTCTCCTTTCCTATGTGCTGCGGAATTTTCATTTATATGTCATTCGACGCAGAATGAAATTTTTGACATATAATTTTGAATGACATATAATTCAATGGATTTTAAAAGAAAAATTTTCAGGTTTTTCCGAAGTGCGCTGACCGTTTTTGACAAGAGGACCTCCAGTGTTTTCCATCATTTCCCTAAAAAGTCGACGACGATTCAGGGTAGTACTCTGGGTCTAATTCACGAAACCGTAGAGAGCCCTTCAAACGGACCATCGTCGGTTGCAAAAACTTCTTTGCAAAACGGCCGATGACGTTTTGTGTATGTCTAAAGAATAAACTCTGTCTAGAGAACGCTTTACTCAAACAAGTTCAAATTTGTATCGTAGATAGTACTCATACCAAGACAGCTCTGGTAAAAGTTTAAGCTCATCAGCAGTTGATTTGACGGAATTCTAGCGTAAGAAAAGTTTTTGACTGGAAAATCGCTTTTTTTTCCGTATTTTACAACCTTTTCTGCAAGCGCTCTAGCGTCGAGGGAAACCACTTTGGAAAACAATGTCAAGAGACAAAAATGTTCAGGACACATTTCTCTATCTGTTCTGAAAATTTGAGAAGCATTTGTCAAAGTTCATTGAGCAACTTAGTTCGTCCCTATCGTGCACTGTCTCTTATACGAACAAAATAATTCGGATATCTGACATCTAACAACTATTTTCTTATGGTTGATTGTCAAAGATCAACCATACACACGACAAAGTCTACCTCAAACGGAACGAGTTTGCATATCATTTGTTTCTGCTCCTGCAAAGCGGTGGCCTGTTCTGAAAAATTCAGGTTGGGAGAGAGTTTTTTTTTCGCCTTTTTTTTGCCTCATGAACAAAACAACAACTATGAATGAAAGTATTTTCCGTTCTCTTTTGTCGTTTCTGGGGACATGCAAGAGAACACTTAAAAAAAGACATGTTCACCGTCATCGTTCTGTCATAATTTTGCTGTTGGAAAGCGACAATCATATGAGAAACTCGATGACCTTCGACTCATCTGTAGGCTTTTCGGATAGCTGCATTTTGAGTATCTTCCTCGAAGTTTAAGGCTTTTCATTCTTTCTTCGTGCGAAGTTGAAACTTTGCCTTTAGCTTGAATATCTTGATAACGCTGATCATGCAATGATTCAGCAAGCCAGGAAACAAGGAAAAACACAGGAAAAAGTCACCCTGTTCGTCAAAGAACATCCTATATAGCTGAGACCATAGTTTCAGTGTGTTAGCAAAAACACTCGTTCGAACTACTCGAAAAACAGCAAACGCTCGAACCACACATTGTCTCTAAATGTCACTCTTTCGTACTATATTCTTTCAGATTGAACGCATCCATGCACTTCCTTCTTCATGTCAGTCTCTTTCTTACATTGACTGACTGCGTTTCAGCTGCACATTTCAACGGTGGCTTCATGTCCTGGAGGCCGCTTACTGATACAATTAATAATGGAACAGTGAACGTATCGATAACACAAAGTTGGCAATTTCGCCCCTATGCAGTCCCCTGTAATCAGTCAATGATTACAAATCAATCCCCACTAATCGGCGGCGGAGGTGCTGTAACTTGTACTACGACGCCTAGAAGATATTCGTGAGAGACGAACCTGTGGAACTGAACGCTGAGACTCTTTCCTCCTCCGAAATGGTAGTGTTTGGACAAAAAAAATCGGTTTTGAGATACACGCATGGAAAGATAACCTGAAGTGTCTGCTTTCAAAACATATAGGATCGAACACTATATCAATGGTTTTTGAGGCTTTTCGCAAAGGTTTTCTGAGGACTTCTGCATAAAATGTAAGATAGGCAGTTGTTTCTTGAATAACTCGAAGACAGTAAAAGATAGAGACTTGCGGTTTTCAGAATCGAAAGAAGGCAGTTTAGCATGTATGTTTATAAGCATCGATTAATTTTGAAAAATCCTGAGTTCGGTTTTCCGGGGATCTCTGGAAAACCATTTGATAATACCAAACTTTACTAAGCATTATATTAGCTTTTTTACTTGATAAGTGTCAGTCCCAATTCGAATGCGAAGTATGATATATCCGGATGCCAATTCGACTCACCATGGAAAATTTTATATTTTCTAAACTTTTTAAGTAAAGTGTCTTTCCGAATTTGAAATCGCCTGACGATGAAAACTTCCTTTTTTTCTTAACTTTTACAGTAAAGTGTCCGTTCCAGTTTGAATTCGAACGCCGATATATCCAAATTCGAATTCGACTGACGATGAAAAAATTTTTTTTTCTTAGTTGTTACAGTAAACTGTCCGTCCCATTTCGCATTCAAACTATGATATATTAGAATTCGAGTGCCCATGCAAAATGCTTTTTGCTGTAAACTTTTACAGTAAAGTGTTCGTCCGAATTAGAAGTCAAACTATAATATATCGCACTTGGAATTCGAGCTATGATATATCACAATTAGAATTCGAAAGCCAAGAAAAATTTTGTTTTTTTCTCAACTTTTACAGTAAAGTGTCCGTCCCAATTCAAATTCGAACTATGATGTATCGCAGTTCGAATGCAAATGCGCATGAAAAATTTACTTTTTTTCAAAACCTTTACAATAACGTGTTAGTCCCAATTCGAATTCGAACTTTGATGGAATGTTTTATTTCTTCGAATATGTTGTGGTATACGTTTGATAAAATCGTAGTTATTTTCGAACTCGAATTAGTCAGCCACTCAAATTAAAAGAAAACATTGCTGAACATGCTGATACAGACGCCATTGTCGAAAATGATAATTCACAATGTCATTAAAAAATATAAATAGAATTAAGTTTGAAATGTTAACAATTACTATGAGTCAAATGAAACAAACATATGAATCAAAACAAGAAATGTTAGAAGAATGTCGATCGTATTACAATCGTGAGAAAAATTCTAATAGAGTTCAGCTAGAGATGATCGATCAATTCGAACATGAATATACATCTGATCGAGCTCTTCATTGGTTTATATGGAATTGTTTTTTATATCGTATTATAAATTATGTATGCCTCACAGAAAACATTAATTTACTTTATTCATTACGGTATTATATGGTCGATTTACGACGACAATTACAACAAATACATTTGACATCTCCAATTGTTACACCATTAATTTTTTGTTGTAAATTTGACAGTAGAGTAACTACGATTCTACTCCTGCTCCATGAATCTGGCGGTCAGTTTTCACTTTAAAATTTAGAAATTCAGCTTTTCGAAAACTCAGTTTTCGCTGGAGAATCAGACAAAAATAGATTTTGAATTTTAGAAAAACAATAAATATGAGAAATTTGCTTGTGTTTGAAAATTTCACGGATTTTTGTTTATATTCAGAAAATGGGTATATTTAAATTTTTCCACCAAAAAATGACTTCTTAAAATGTGGGATTGTATTTTTCCAATGCACCTCGATGAGCTCTATCGGACTATGCCAGAAAAGCAGAAGGAAATTTCCTGCTGTAATTTTGGTTACCGGCATCTTACAACCTTGTGTATTGCGTACATACTTGTAATGACTGAGGCAAATAAGCTAACAATTAACGTTTGACAAATTGGTCCAGTGTTGCAGGTTGTCATGAATATGTGCGTTATTTTTTAGTCTAAAAAGTCTTATACATCAGCGAACTTGTAAAAAAAGAAGTCAGTTTCAGCCTTTTACTTAGGTTTTCTTTCAGTTTCTCGCTAGTAATGGTAATAGTGCGTGCTGATACCAAACAAACTGGTTATTATTTTCAATTGCACCATGGTCAAATTGAAATCAGTGCATCGAGTCCACATCGTCGAATACCAAATTTAGAAACAACTATAAACAAACGAATGATCCGTGAAATAACAGCAATTGGTCAACTTGTTTTGGCAAAAACTCTTAAAGGTGGTCGTTTACCAACCGTTCTCGTTTCTGGTAAATTACCATGTTCAAGACAAAACTATTTATTTTTGAAACGATGCGGTGTAAGTTATTACTTTTAGGCGGTATCCTTTTCAGTTGTCAAATTATCTATTCACTACCTGTACGACTTTTTTAGCGAAATAAATTACCTAATTGCAACTATTGTATTATAAATAAATGTTGATTATCAGTCGGAAGCTACAGAAATAAGAAGAAATTAATTTAGGACTTCTAAATTCCATAAGTTTGAAAAGAAAGGGCGTGTATAGCTAAGCGATCTGACAGTTAAACGGTTCCCTCGAAAGTTGTAGACTACTACGCGTTTCAAAATACAATGATCTCGGACATTTTTTGAATAACTTTTCACAAAAATGAGATGGAGACCTGCGGTTTTCACTTTTGAAAACTAGATACATGATTACATATTTCTGTAAGCAAAAGCGAATTTTGAAAAAACTTCTGAAGCGGATTTTTCAGAGAATCTTTGGAAAACCAGTTTGTGTTTTCCCGAAATTCACCTAAGAGTGTACTGACTTTTTTTCATGGACTGATAGCTCGGGGTGTTCGCTTCAAAATGGGTGTAAAGTGAGACCTTGATTTTCTGTGGTTCAGGCGTTGTATCGAATTTTCGACGAGTCTCATGACTGGCATCCGGTGGCTCTTGGTATCATTAAAGACGGATGGGCTATGGATAAGGCCATGTTGAGTCTCGTGCCAATATTTGTTTTTAAAAAAAGTTTTAAAAATTTACCAAAAAGCCAGTTTTACGAAAGTTCAGACTGTTTCCAGCGAATATTTAAAAATTCACTATTCACTCAAAAACCGCAAATGAAACTTCAGTACAACGCTCGTACCGCAGAAAATCAAGGTTTCAGTTTTCTCCCATTTTGAAGCGAACACTCTGGGCTATCAGTCCATGAAAAAAAGTCAGTACACTCCTAGGTGAATTTCGGAAAACACAAGCTGGTTTTCCAAAGATTCTCTGAAAAATCCGCTTCAGAAGTTTTTCCAAAATTCGCTTTTGCTTACAGAAATATGTAATCATGTATCTAATTTTCAAAAGTGAAAATCGCAGGTCTCCATCTCATATTTGTGAAAAGTTATTCAAAAAATGTCCGAGACCACTGTATTTGGAAAAGTATAGTAGTTCCATACTTGTATTTTCATTTAACGTGGATTTGCTCTTTTTAAGCAAATTCTTTTGAGATTGTATTTACGAGATAGTTAGACAACCGAAACATAAGAAACATTTTTAATCAACTTATAACGATCGTTTTCTCCTTACAGGTTGGACTAAGATACAGGCAGCATCCTGTCATACGTGGTCAATTAGCTTTCGATACGGATATTTACGTCAGCAAAGGGCATCGTGTAGAGGCCACCGATATCCGATTCAACACTTACAAAACAGCCACACGATCATATGTTAGTAAAGATAAAATACGTAAAAATTGTGCACATCATGAATATTCTATGGGGCTATCTTTTGTGGAGCTTAATCATTACGATATCGGAAGCCGTACATAGATTAATCATTTAAATGATTCTTTTTTTCAATTCAAGATTTCTTTCGTTCTTCTTTTCTCTTTTTTGCATTATTAGCTGATTCATTCATGTCGTGTTATCTTGTTGTTTATTAATGTCTTTGGTGATATAAATAGGATGTAAATAAAATATCGAGCTATTCTGTGTCCTTAAATAATAATCAATCACTTACTCGCATCGGAAAGTGAAAAACATTAAAAGGAATCGCTTGAATAACTTATATTCGTATACAGAGTTAAGGCTAAACTTCAGCGTTATCTCATTGCTCAATCCTACGCTATTCAACAGTGTCATTTTTGAACCAAACACTAAGACTAAACTAAATTAAAAAGTCACGTGAACGTGGTTTAATCATTTAAATGATTCTTTGCTCAATTTTCAATTAAAGCTTTCTTTCGTTCTTCTTTTCTCTTTTTTGCATTATTAGCCGATTCATTCATGTCGTGTTATTAAGCAACGCCTTAATTACGTCCTGTTCATTAATAAAACCTCAGTTAGCTAAATTGGATATTGTATTAAAAAGATGATTTTTACGGTTTATTTTGGACATTTTCTTTAATGAAGAATCATCTTCTTTCATCCTTGTTTGATCGAGGTAAGTTGAACGACAATACGTTACTTATACCACACTCTATAAACGTACGATTACGCGCCATCTTTTAGAATTTTAAATTAAAACTCATAACGACAGAAGTTTGCTGAAAATGTTTTTTAAGCATTCTAACAGTTACCTAATCATCAGTTTTCTCCATATTGTAGTAAAATGGGAAATTATTTATAGAAAATATCTGGCGATTTTCAAAAAGTCAATATATGAATTCATGAGGGATTTTCTGAAATCCAGAAAATTATAAGCGAATTTCGATTTAGAAATTCCTCAGCTATTTTATATATGGACTTTTTGAAATTCGAAAAGTCGGATTAATTTCTAGAAAGTAGAAAATCGTCGAGGAATTTCTACTTTCCAGAAAAGCGCTGAGGAATTTTCACCTTACTATAAAGGATAGTCTTCTCGAAATGTTGAAAACTAGAGATTTGCAACTTGTAATTTGGTTTTTTAGCTTCTTTCAGTCTATCAGCTTCCTCCACCACTTTCTGATTTACGTCGTCGATCCCCAGTTCAGACATACTTAAAATTCTAAACTAACTGACTCAAGGAACTCCAGTGGCAGTAATGCAGCTCAGATCTTTCATATTTTTCTCTCCGCCTATTCATCCTAGATCGTGAATGGTTAACTCCAGCCATTTATATCTAGCTCCCAAATATTAGATAAAAAGGTGACTCATTCGATTTTCCTACTTTTTACAAATTCCACGTCGAATTTCAAAAATCTTGGGAATTATTGTGGAACTCCCAAACTATCTTCGAAGGTGAAGTAACAGTTTTATACCGGAAAACCACTGTTTTTAAGATAAACTTGCCCTCCCCCGCTGGAGGACAACCTGTTAAAATACCGCACACAACTTCTTAAAATGGTAGTTACGACCTATTAGAAAGGCGCGCACAATCTCCTAAACTGGTAGTCACAACCTCATGGAAAAATATGCTAAACGAAATTCCGAAAGAACATTCATATACTCCAGCTTACAGCCAAAGATAAATGTTTCATTAGACATCTATGGTCTTTAATTTCATTAGTATATCAAATTTTTGTTTCAGTTAAGAACTATTTTTTTTAAGACTAGACGTCTCAGTATTGGGAGTTCCACCTTTTAGTACCTTTAGGTGCTACCCTACCAAGATTTTTATAGAAAATCAAACTCGAATTTCCAGAATGTAGAAAACTGAGCTCGAATTTTATATTTTTAGAAATTCCAGAGCCATTTCTGACTGAACGGAAAATACAATTTATGGTAAATCGAATCGATTTTCTATAAACTGGAATTTAATTCCAAATTACCGCCGATAATCTGGAATATTCGCAATGCTTTACACGGTGTAAAGCATTGCGAATATTATGCACCCAGTTTTCATATGCTTCCTATAATATACTGTAAGATCGGTTGACCCACGATCGAAAATGGAGGAAAGTAACTAGTCCTATTCACAGCAGTAGTTCTCGATGTTCTATGTGTGCGGTTCGATTATCAGAAAAAGTATCACTTTGACAGTTGCGTAAAGTCGTAACATGTGCTTTGGTAATCGAAAAGACATACTAGTTTATACCTTATCTGAACGACCGTGGATGAAGCGTCGTTTTTATACAAGATAGAATAAAAGATAGAATAAGGTATTATTGTCTTTTGCGAATTATATTTGGCGGAGATTTTTCGCTTGCAATCCAACTAGTTTGATGACTTTCGCTCCATTTATTTATGGCACATCTAGAACTCATTACCCATTACAAAATAATGTAATCATCATATTTCTTTGGTCGATCAGAGTTTTCAAGTAAGGTGCTCCAAATTCAAAGATCAAGCACTATTTTTGAATTCATTTGTAAGATACATCACTCGACGCAGAATTTTGCGCTGATCACGAATATCACTTTTAAAATTTGATTACTTTGCGTTTTCCCTGAGAAAACATAAAAATTCGAAAAAACCGCGATTTTTAGGCAAAAAACGTTGTTTTGGAAAACCGCTTTATAGCCTAGCCTGGTCGCACTACAGAACCTTCAAAGTCAATTATTCTTACTTACCGTAAAAAAAGCCGTTTTCACCACAATCGGCCAAGTCATCGATGTATAGATCCACTATTTTCGCCTCGAAATTTTCAAACTCAAGTTCTATAGGTAAAAAAGGATGCTGAATCTCGTAGGCCTGTTTTCTTGGTGGCTAGAGTACTTCAGCAATGGTTTAGCCTGTTAGGTATTAGCTTCTTTAGGGAAAAATTTGAGTTTACTTGCTTTTTAAAGCTTTGCTAGTTATCTCTCGAAAAACTTCGTTTTATTTTACCAAAATTTAATATAGTTATCACAAAAATAAACAACGTTATCTTTTACGAAACATGAAATTTAAAAATTTAAACTACCCCTTATATTGCCACTATTTCAAGTTTGTGTTACTGATTTTCTGTGTGAGATAATTTTGTCTTTACATAATCCTGAAAAAAGGTTGTAACACCTGTTTATAATCTTGACCCTGATGATATGCGGCCAGCGTTTTCCCAAATTGTCAGTAGAGCTTTTTATAGACAAAACACTCTACCAGCTCAACCCTCTATGCGTTTACTGAAGTACTCTAGCCACCAAGAAAACAGGCCTACGAGATTCAGCATCCTTTTTTACCTATAGAACTTGAGTTTGAAAACTTTCGAGGCAAAAATAGTGGATCTATACATCGATGACTTGGCCGATTGTCGTGAAAACTGTGTTTTTTCGGCAAAAAAGGCATATTTCTGCAAAAAAATGGAATTTCGAAATAAAAATCTGTGAATCTATAGAGTTTTTTGTTGCGCTTTGAATGTCAAAACAATTAAGTCGCTATCTATTACAGAAAAAAAATTGATTCGATTGCCGTGGACGTGGGTGAGCAGTGTCTATCCGCTGAACCCCGAGGAATTTTGGGCGATTTTTGCACTCACCAAAATTGTAAAAAGCGCTTCAGCAGATACAGTTTTTTACGGCAAGTAAGAATAATTGACTTTGAAGGTTCTGTAGTGCGACCAGGCTAGGCTAT